CGATAAGTACATTTCCAAAATCTCAATTTACTACTTAAAATAGAGGAACCATTGAGTGTCTATACTAAAATGTTTGGTGAATGAGTGAATGAAGAAGTGATTTCACATTTCAAATCTGACTAATTAAACAACCAGAATGACTAACTCAGTCAGCTGATGTTTTGTTCATATAGGACTACATCACTTTTATGAAGAGGGTGATTGAGAAAATAGGTCTCGGGTTCTTTAAACTTCACACAGCTGAATTTACTACAGCTTCAGTGCAGGAATGCCAAGGTGTTTTTGTACTTGTGTGAAGCCCCTTCAGAGGGAAATGATAATCAGTTTAAATGAAAAAGTACATTTAATTAAAGCTACATACAAAGCTTATCAACTGCACCTAATTGTTTTTCCTTTGCCTTCATTGTGCATTCATGTTTCTATTTTAATTATTTATTCCGTTTTGTTGTTGTTTTTGCCTGCCTCTCAGCATGTTTTCCTGCATGCATTTTGCTTTAACCTCCCCAGCAGTGAGTGGGAGAGGTTAACACAACTAAACAGTGGCTGTCACTGCTATGGAGGGCACTCTCTCTCACACACTCTTGAACAGCAAACACTGCATGCAAGATAGATAGAGAGAGACAGACTGACTGACAGAGAAAGAGACCTCCAGGAACAACATCCAGCTGCCACCCCTTATCCGGAGCTGCACTGTTCCAAAAAGAGCAAACTGGCCTACATTACAGTGACAATGACATAAACACTAGTATGAGACTGCATAATGGTAATTTTATAGTTTGCAATTCCCCCATAGAGAAACATATTTAACAGTATTCCAAATGTGTTACTTGGACACGTAGGTTTGCATGTTTATGTTTACCATCCTTCCATATTACAGTAGAGTGAGGTTGGTCTAATACCTCCTGCAGTTTGCAACAGTAATTAGCAATAAGCTATAATTTGTTCATAATGACAAAGGAATAATAATCTTGAGGGTATCATTTCTTTTAGAATATCACTCACCTGGTGCATACAGTCAAGTTAAGGTTATAGAAAAAGTCCTCATGTATCTGAGCTGTGATTCAGAATCAGAATAAAGTTTTTGCCAGGTACGTTTCCACATACAAGGAATTTGCTTTGGTGTCTGGTGGTGTTCATGGTTACTGTTATTTTCTTCTTTCCTTTTGCCGAAGCAATTAAACTGACTGTTTTGCAATCAGTTAAAAGATAAATATATTTTTCTGCGTTTTTTAATTAAGGCTAGATTTTCTTTATGTAGAGAATGTAGAGGAAATGTAATCAATAGTAAAAACGAATGAAAATGACTACTTAAGACTTTTCCTACACTAATGTAGATATGTGTGAGACAAGACCTTATCTCTTCCATTTATCTTGTACCTTTGGAGTCATTTTAAAACTTGACCTTGAGTTTGTTAACATCCCATTTTTCTTGTAAAACAAAACCATTTAAGGTTTTTGTATGATGACAACAAAAAAGGAGGAGTCCTCCTAATTATTACGAACATTTGCATTTATAATTTGGTGTAGAGGCTAAGACAGATTTGAGTTGCTAGACAATAAAGAGGCTCAGGTCGAGCTAAAGTATAGCGCTAAGGTAAAGAGTGCAGTCAGGTGCAGGCTGACTAATCAAGCGTTGAGAGAGGAATGAGAATTGAGTCTAGGGCATTTCTCACTTCGAAGAGGAACATGGTTCATTTCTTACAATCCCTTTGTGGGTACAAAAAGGAATCAGTCGGTGGAGAATCTGTGACAGAATCGCTGTGGCTGCCACCTGACCAACACCTCTTACTGCTGGGAACTTCATTAACAGATATGGATCTTAAGGCTCAAGGACTTCCCAATAAACCCTTAACCTCATAGCACGCCAGCCGTAGAGCCTTATCCTGGGCCCTTTCCCGTTGTCTCTCTGAAGATCCTATCTAGCAGGAGTGAGCCAAGCTATATAGCAGCTTAGCCATTCTATTCACCTCTTCCACCCCCTGCTTGTATGGATAGCATGAGCCTTTGACATACTGCTTACTTCTGCATGCATCACGTCTCTGGCTGAAGGTTTATCAGTAACCCATTGGCTGAAAATCAATAAGGGGAGGGAAAAAAGCAGGTGAGCATTAGTGAGCATGCTCCAAAAGACTATGTAAATCTGTGACGGTTGATGTATCGAACAGATAAAACAAGAAAGTAAACAAAAGAACGTAAAGGATAAAGGAAGAAGTTGCCTTTAAACCCAACCTATACTCAGGGTATATTGAGGGGGTTTCAGTCAATGACTTTAAGTCAATTAGCTAGTGATAAAGGGAGGGTACAGAGCAAGGGAGACATCAGCAGTTATGACAAGACATCTTCACAGCTCATTTGCAACAAGGGAACATACAGCCACATTCAAAGCATATGACTGACTCAGCTGTAGGAGATAAGACGGAAGCCACCCCAGAGAACAGATTCATATTTCCCTGATGATGTTGTCAGGGAAGGACTATTGTCTAGGCCCTTGTTTCAGCAGTTAACACAATGGCCATTTCACACCCTCAGCCTCTTCACCCTTGACAGAGGTTCAGCAAATCTGAATAACTCAAAGGAAGGCCTAAAACTATATGTGATTCAGGGATCTGCCTCCCCTTTTGATTTTAGCACAGAGAAGGAGGAGGAGGAGGAGGAGGAAGAAAAAAGAAGAACATAACTTGTATGCGGCTGGCCATCAGGCACTTTAAAAGCTTTACAAACAGCCAAAAGCCTCTTATGAAGGCACTAGCACGGCCAGAGTCATGCTGTGTCGGGGAAATAATAAGAGTCTGCTCTTTTGCAACCCACACATGCTGTAACAACCATCACTCTCTTTTGTCAAAGCAGAGAGCAGCCTTCGCATTTCACCAGCATTAAAATATTCAGCAGTGCATTGCACTCATATTTAGAAGAAAATTAAGAAACACTTGTCAGAGTCATACGAGTTCCATCTGCTCGCTGAGGCCCACCTGTACTCACACACTGCCAGGTGTGCACTACTACCTCACCATCCACCATTCAGAGCTCAGAAAACCAAAATTAAAATATAATTGGAGGTATTTCCTGTTTGCCTGCAATATGTTATACTCCCTGATTTGTTAATATGCACGGTATATCCAATTTCAAAATGCATCTTAAAACATGTAACTCCACCTCACTAAAAAGAATTGACTCCCACTCAACCTGTATTCCAGACTGTTACATAATGTGTCCCTGTTTTGTTTTACTGCACCAGAGGAGTACCTACTGTAATGCAAAGGAGATAATACTGTAATCTTATTGTAGTGAATGTCATAGAAAATATGCATATGACATATTTACATATAGCAAAAGCAAGTCTCACAGCACATTATTAACTGGCTCTTGATGGTACAGGAAGCTCAGCCTGGAGGTTTTAAATGAAGCCTTGGTGTTCCTGTCAACTCAACTGGCTCCATAATTATCACAGGGGTCATAATGTGATTTCCTCTTTATCCCCATATAGCCTCAGCAGGAACACTTTTGTATTGCGACATAAACCTTTTAAATGACCAGTAACCCGCAGGGTTGAATTTAGTGCTTTTGTTTAAATAAGTGCAAAAGAATGGGCAGTTATGAGTAGTTGTATGAAGGGATAAAGTCTAAGGTCATAGATAAGGCGTTTCAGTCACAACATTGACTTGGGACACTTATTTATGGTAGCTGACCTTTTAACTGCATGATGTCAACATGTGATTATTTAGATTGTTCAGAAATGAACTGACACATTGAGCAAGAACATTTTAAAAAAAATACAGTCTGCTTTCATCAGATGATATATTTAGATCTTCTTCTGGATGTACTTTCTTGACTGAAGAATGATTGTGTTGTAACTCAAATAATTGTGAACCTGCCACAATTGCTTTTTTGCTTAATAAAAAAAAACACATGTAAATAATATATAAATATATGTTTTGTTTTCATTTGATAGGATTATAAGTTCAACCAGCAGGTCAGTGTGTAAGGAAAGGAAACCCACAAACTGTAGAACTGTGGGATACATGTATTTTTTCCCCTTCACAGTCACTGAGAAATCAATGTTAAGAACTAAGCTGAGGCATCAAAGACCAACAGCCTATCTGACCTGCATAGAGCCCCACTGTGGGGTATAATGCAGCATTGTACACCAGTTACTTAAAGACCCATTCATGCAGACACTAAGTAAATGCATAGGACCGTAAGATGGGGGGTTTGGGGTAGGATACGATTTACAATACTGCCTCCAGCCTTAACGATTAAACAACTTACACACACATGGAAATATATTCAGAGAAGAAAAAACATCAGATGAATGTGTTTCTGTTTAGAGAAATACAAACCAAAGGTTTTTTTTTATTTATCATAGCCTCCTTTGTCTCTCCATAAAAATAGTGTTGCTAAAAATAAACTGTTAAAAGAAAAAAAAGTCATGTTTCAATGTAGTCCATGGAAAAGCCCCAGTATCAGACATTCATTTGTTTCACTTCAATCCTCTGTTTTTTTTTCTTTTCCAAAAGCAGAACGGTCAGCAAAGCCCCGTACCAATGCCCCGCATGTCTTTTCCTTTGAAAAAAAATAGCATCGGAATGAGCCCTTGCAGAGACAAGTCAGGCAACTGCTGTAATGCATTATTAAATTAGCCCTAAACACTACACAAGCCATTAAGAAGCATGTCAAAACCTAAGGGAAAAGAAATAACACAAAATGCAACCAATAACAGAATAAAGTATTTGCAACAACTGTTATTAGCCTGCACTTCATCTTTGCCAGTTTGACCAGTGGGGAATCATGTGCACACTAAATAAACATGTTTAGATACGCTACAACTAAGAAGCACTGGCACTGTCAAATAAATGCAGCTCAGCTTCAGCAAACAGAGGGTTAAACCTTAGCTGCAGAAATGCACTGCAGTCCAAAAGCATTTGTCTGATAGCTACTGAACAGCACATTCTATCTGTGCCATTACGCTGCTATCCTTGGACAAATGTTTCTATCTATCTAGATTTTTCTTGTGTGTCTTTTTAGTTTCCTAAGTCTGGAAATACCATTTTATTGCATATAATATTTGGCACAGTAAAACTGGAGCTTATATTTGGGGCTGTATTTAAAAACTGGTGCCTTTATGAAGAGTTTTTCTTCTGCAGTCTAAATATGGTCAAAAAACAAACAAAATGCCTCTTTTCCTAGAGTACCATCCTCTATTATCAATCACAAAAGAAATTAAGTATCTTTGTCTTTTAAATAGAATTCACCAGTTATTAGAAAATAGTTTCAAATGACTTTCTTTTCTAATATAATGTCTTACCACTGCCTGACGGTAGTTCATTTATATATATTTGTATTTTTTTCATATTTATATACTTATGTATAGGCATGTACAAGAAACCAAAAACTGTCTCTGTTTTGCACTTCTGTACAAAAGAAAGTTACCGTTTTGTTCTTTGTGCATTCTATTGCATGGACTGATGAGCAGACAGGTGGCGAGGAGAGGTTGGGGCAGAGTCAGAGATAAATCCAGAGGGAGCATTACTCAGATTTGGGTCTCCTGAACCTTCTCCTTGCCGTGAGTAGTCTTAATGACGTAGGGATCAGCAATGGTGCTGATGTGGCTGTGATGCTGTCTGACTGAGCGATGAAGAGAGTTGTTCTGGGTCCAGTGGGCTCCGTAGCCCCCTTGGCGGGCTGATGAGGAGGAGGACACATACCCAGGCTTAAAGGTGTTGCTGTTGTGTTCCACTAACGTAGGCAGTACCAACACTGTGTCATCAGAGCCACTAGATCCGGATGTGGGGGGCGGAACAGGAGGAACTTCCTCCTCCATCTGTATGATTTCTATGGTCCTTGCTGCTGCCACCGTGCTCCTCTGTTGATGCCGCTTACGCAACTTATAGAATGCTATCAACATGGCGGCTGCCAGTAAGGTAACAGCAACAAAGCAGCCAATGATGATTTTTGTGGTTTTCATCACCTCATCCAAGCTGGCGGCTGGCCTACTAGGGACTCTGGGAGTTACGATTGACACCTGCCTTGGAGTTGGAGTGTTTTGGAACAGCACAGTAGGTGTAGAGATGAAGACAGGCTGAAAGCCAGAGGGCGAGGCAGGGATAGTAGGTTTAGGTTTTGGGGTCTCCTCCACTGTGGGCTCCAAAACTTCCACCGTCACGGTGGTAAAATACGACAGATTAGATGTGTTGAGTTCAGCATTGCTGACGTTTAGGTATGCTGAGGCATTGGAGTTTCCTGCCATGTTGCTCACCATGCAGGTGTACACGCCTGTGTCTGAAGGGAGAACGTTGGAGAAGTTCAGTGTTCCGTCGTTAAGGACAGATATCCGTGGGTGAGCTGAGCCATGGCTCAATACAGTCCCATTTGGCAGAAGCCATCGGACTGAGCTCATGGAAGCTGTGCGACACTTCAGTTCGGCCACCCTCGCTGCCGAGATGTTCAGGTCTCTAGGAGCATCAAGTATGAATGGTGCTGAACACTGAAAGGTGGTCTGATCAACTTCCACCAGGTATCGTCCCCTCATGTGGACCGGGGTGTGGCAACGTCCACAACAGGTGGAGTTTGTGGGAATGTATTCTCTGAGCCACCAGGAGAGCCACACTACATCACAGTCACATCGCCATGGGTTGTGGTGCAGGTGGAGCTCCACCAGGTACTGTAAAGGTGTGAAGAGGTTATGGGGGAGGGACGAAAGGTTATTATGGGCTAAATTCAGCTCAACCAAGTCTGTAATGTCATCAAATGCATTTCTCTCAATAGTAGTGATGGCAGAGTTCATAATCCACAATTTACGTAGATGTTTAAGCCCAAGGAAGGCCCCGGGCTTCAGTTCAGGGAAAAAATTCTCTGATATTTCCAGCTCCTCCAACCCCAACAGTGGTAAAAGATTAGGAAACTCCCTCAGGTTGCACATCCCCAAGTTGAGATACTTGAGGTTCTGAAGGCCCTCAAATGCTCCATCAGAGATGTACTCCAACTTTCTCAGTTCTCCCAAGTCCAGTCTCATGAGGGAGGGTACACGGTTGAAGGCATAAGAGGGGATGCTCTCAATGGGATTGTTTCTAAGCCACAGCTCTCTCAACTTTGACAGGTACTCAAAAGCTCCGCTGGGTATGACTGTCAGTCTGTTGTCGAACAGCTCCAGGGTATTGAGGCTGGTCAATCCACTGAAGGCCCCAACTTCAATCCGTCTGATAGCATTTCTGCCCAACTGCAGCACCTCCAGGTGATGCAGGTGCCTGAAGGTGTCTGCCTGTATGGTCTCGATGCTGTTTTCCATCAGGTTAAGGTACCTGGTGTTGGGTGGGATGTTCGGAGGAACCCTAACCAGGCCTCGGCGGGTGCACACCACCTTGCTGAGCTGATTAGTGCAGGAGCACACACCTGGACAGTTCTGTGGGTTAGCCGAGCCCAACGCAGGGCCTGTGGACTGGCACATACTGAGAGCAGGAAGCAGAGAGAGCACGGCGAGCAGGGCTGCTTTCCAGGTAGGCTGCACTCTAACCTGGCCCAAAGGACTCATGGTGTGGAGGGCTCATTATTCTGCATGGTGGGGGGAGACGGCACAAACCAGAGGACAGACCACCCTAGCCTGGCTGGAGCAACTCAAGGCTCCCAAGTTCCATCGACAGTGCAGGGAGACGCTACATCAAAATTGATGTGTGTGAGAGAGAGAAGGGGAAAAAGAGGGGCAGAGCGGGAGACAGAGTGAGAGAGATTAATACAAGAGAAGCAGCAGAGGAAAAGCAGTGCAGCAATGTAAGAAAAAGGTTGGATAACAGTGACAGTGACGTACCTCATTAGTTTGGAAGTGGTCCTTTTTGCCTTTTTCCAAATGTTAAAAGCAATAGTCATGCAACATGTTCATTTATAATTTCCTTCGATGGAATGACACCAGATTCATGGTTTCTTCTTTTCCTTCTCTGAAAAAGTGATGTGGCCCTCTATTAGCCACGGGTACAAAATGGCTCCTGGTATTAAAGACTGAAAGCAGCATGAAAAGCACTCACAGGCAGAGGTAAGGCCATGAAGGCTTGGCAGGTGCCTGAATCCCTTCTGCCCCTACTAACTGCCCCCCTGCCAGGCTGCAGACTCCAACATGCAGCTCTGCTGTGGAAAAATCACAATGATCCATATCGCAGAGAAACACGACAGAGGAGGAGAGAAGAAGTGACCAACTGAAAAAAAGAGTCCCCAGTTCTGTCGGCTCCTGATACATGTGTTGGCTCGTCGGCTGGTCGCCTGTTTGGTGGAGAGACCTCCCTCACTGTGACTTTGCCAAGGGCTAGTCGGTCGCTGATTAGTCCTGTTGTGACAGAGACTGAGAGACAGAAAAAGGCTAAAGAACTCCCGGCACAGTCATCCCCCTCTTCTCTCCTCCTCCGTTCCTTTTGCTTCCTCCCAACGTCGGGCTGGCCCTGGTCAGAGCAGCTGCAGGCTGCCGTGTGCACAGTTAGCAGTAATCCGTCTATTCCTCCTGGGGGGNGGTTGGGGGTGGTGGGAGAGATGGTGGCGCTGGGTGGGGGGCGGAGAAGGGGATGCGCTGCACTGTTGGAGCTTCGCAAAAGCGTGTCGGAAGAGAGAGAGAGAGAGAGAGAGAGAGAGCACTCTTGTCCTCTTCTGCAATGAGGGAAAAAGAGAGGATGACGCTGGGAGGATGTGTGTGGAAGTGGGCTCCGTATCTGTATCCAAAAACAAGAAAGGTATTGAGGATTCTTCTCTCCACTTGCTGTTTGTCGCCCGGGCTGTCTCCTGCAGTGTTCCTCAGCTTCCTTATTTGTTAGTTTTTTCTCCGGGGCTGAGGTAGTAAGTTGTGGCAGTTAGCCATGTGTGTGGCTGTCAGACTTGCGGCATGGCTGGTGGACTACTGCAGTAGCCAGAGTAAAACAGAGAAAGAGAGAGAGGTAAAGAGAGAGAGAGAAAGCGAGAGATTGAGAGAGAGAACCATTGACAGATCAAGAGCAAAAGAATGATAGAGTGTGCGAAGGAGAGAGTGTGTGAGAGAGAGATGGAGAGGAGGAGGAGGAGGCACGCGAGGCACTCAAACAGGCAGCCCAGCGTCACAGAAGCAGCGGGAGCAGCATTCTAATCCACATCTCCACTTCTTGTTTATTCTCCAATCTCTCTCTTTTCTCTATTCCCCCCCTCCGTGTCGGTGTTGCAGGCAGCTAAGATGCTCGCTCTGCCCCCTCCCTTTGTCCTTCAGTGGGAACGTGAATGTACTGCTGACGCACTCCTCTCAGCTGCTCAGCCAGCCTCAGAGCAGTGCATTGGTTTGATGCAGTGTTCCTGTGTATTAACACATTCAACCTCCCCTCCTCCTGTATGCCTTCTTCTCCCTCCCGTCACTGTAACTGTCTTCTCCCCTCTTACTCTCTCTGTCTGTTTCTCACATGTTCGGTCCCTCGCCGTCTCTCTTTGCTCTCCCTCTCTAGATCACTTCACCTGTGCCCATCCTCCCCTCTCTCTTGCTGTCGGTCTCCCCCAACCTATCGTTCAAATGAAAAGCCTCCCATTCCAAGAGGTCAGACTTTTTACTCCAACTCCAGAGTTGCCCTGTGTTCCGTCTCCCTGTCTCGTGAGCGCAGCAGTGCGCCAGTGTTTTCAAGTGGAGATGCAGCTTACCCTTGTATGGCACCGTGTGGTGAGTGTTTCCCTTGTGAGGGAGGGAAGGAACAAACAGACAGAATAGTTTGTTGTATCTGCTTTTCTAATTATGTCAGAGTATTTATTATGAGTATGTGAGTGTTTTTGAGGTGATGGGGAGGGGGTCTGTGACATCACAGAGGACTGAAATGCTGACTCTGCTTCTCTGTGTCTGCTGGGCAGTCTTCTCTTCAGGGAGGAGAAAGATGAAAGGGCTTGCACACAGTTATCTCTTAGAAAGATGAGAGGGAAAGACGGAGAGATAGAGGAAAAGAGACTTTCCGAGAGAGTGGGGGAGAGAGATGGGGCCGGGTAGCAGGAGATATATCCACGTCCTTGGTGAAATAGGGAAAAGGAGCCTATAGAAGGATGAGAGGAATGAGATAAATAGGGAAAGAGAAGAAGGATGAGAGAGACAGATGAGGGAAAACACTGCATAGTAGCCTCTTCAGTGAAATGGCTCAGAAAGGAAAAAGAAAGAAAGAGATGAGAAGTAGGGGTGAGGAGAAGGAGGGAGGAGAGGAGTGTTGATAGTGTTGGATTAAATATCATTTGGATGCAGGAGAAGGAGTGTCCCTCACTGCCTTTGGTTAATGACCACATTCACTCCCTCTCCTGCGCCTCTATATTGTCCCAAATATGTTTGCTATTGGGGTTTTGATTTGAATTCCAGTGTATAAAATACATAAGTAGGACATGACTGGAATGTTGTATTCCACTAAAGATGAAATTCATGCTCCATGACCATAAAGCAGACGGAGTAATACTGACGCCAATTTAAATAAATGCAAGGGACGGTTACAGAAGTCGACGAGAGGACTAATGCACTTACTGCATGTGATCCCTTTTTAGTGTTAACATATATGAATATGAATTAAAGATTATATTACATAATTGATACTCCTTAGTATTATCTCCCGGATACTTAAAACGTAGAAAAAATGATGTTACCCAGTCTCTTTGCTTTATACTTGCAACATTCATTTACATCCAGCTGCATTAATGTTAACAGTCAACAAACTATCTCTCACTTGACAGAAAACTGAAGAAACATGGGCATAAGGTGCTTAGACATGCTTCGAGAGAAATAGGTCTTCTCTGATAACCTTCAGCATACCAAATTGATTGAGAGAATGCACTCTATCCATAAAATGTATATTTATTGTATTGTAGAAAGTTTCAGTAATGCATTTGGAATCATACATGAAATACATGTGTGTCTGCACAAATGTATTTCAGATTACTACAAAGGGGAAGCATCTTGTGTGTAATGCCAGCATGGCTTTGCAATAATTATGATTATTTTAAATTAATTATTTGCAATAGTGTTCATCAACACAAACCAATGAGGAGTGACTGGAATTGTCAGTATTGATGGTCAAAACCACCAGTGGGAATAAATGAAAACAACCTTTGCATTTAAGACACATGTGAGGGAATAAAGGGTTCTGCATTAGAATGAAAGAAGACCTCACTGCATGTAGACTGACTTGACACATTTTCCAATGGTATTTTGAAGGAACACCATTGTATGCACAGCAAAGGAAAATGAGTGGAAACGTTTACCATTTCTGTTTTGAAAGGTAGAATTCCAGATTAATGAGAAAAGCATTTAAAAAAAACGTTCAATTTACAGCTGATGTACCGATTCTATTCCAATTAGATATGGTGCTTTAGAGTGAAGAGTGGTGAAGAGGAAGAAAGAATGAGAGAGAAGGAGCATAGTGATAACTATTAGTGAAGGTGGTGCAGGCAGCGCTGGTTAGATAATTGATGGCCATGGTTGTAGCTGCTGTGTTAATGCTATTACAGGGGGCATGAGCATGGAAAGGTCAGTTAGCACACTGAATATATGACGTTTCCACCCGCTGTCTTTATGGCTGTCTCTTTTTTTCAGCTTCTTTGTTTCCTTCTCTAGCCTTTGGCTGCTTACATGAATCCATATTAAGGATTATCAGACAAAGTGTCTGTAGTCCAGTTCTCCCTTTAAATGTGTGGAATGAGAGGATCAGTCAGGATTTATTGCCATTGGAAAGTGTATATATAGTGTGATGTAAATCATAAGGAGTTTTATGGAATTACTCCGTAGTATGATTAAGCATCTTGTGTTTCAGTGTGTCAATTCCACAACATTAATAAATCTTTCAAATGTGTCTTCCGATGTCATATATTATGAGTGGGGCGGGTTAGCTGTTTAGCTAATTTCTATGTTTGGGTCTTTCAATTTAAATTATAGATGAAAACAGTTGCCACGCGAGGCATATCAGTGGTTAGAAACATGTTTTATCCATGTATCATGTAGTGCGCCATAAAACTAACTTGTACTCTTTCATGTAGAAAAGGAAAATATTACATTGCCATCATTCTCTTATTTGACATTGTCTATTGCTTGGGAAGCAAATTGAACAGTCATCTGCTTCCTTAATAAACTGTGTGTTTGCATGCTGTTTAATAACTTTTGCTCACATGAGTCAATTTTAGTAGCAAAAAAACGTATTATAACCTATTATTCTTAGTTTTGTCGTGTTGTACAAAATCTGCAGTTTTAGTGTATGAGCTTAGTTGTATTCATCTTCCGAATGTATACACATTGTGTGAGCAAAAATCTTAAATGTATTACATGTGAAATATGAAAATTCATGGGATCAATTTGATGTTTTCTAAGTCTTTATCAGAGATGTTTTGTTGGATGTATTGGATTGAAGAAAAGCTCTGTACTATACAATACTGATCTAATAAAGCTCTACTCTGATTGGTCCAACTTGAGAATAGATCACAATCACATAAATGATGAATGAGCTTGTGTTCATATAAGGTATATTGCCGTTCTGCTTTATGATGGTGATGTGATAGACAATGATTTTTTGATTCATAGTGTATTTTTAGACGATCAAATGCCCCCCCCCCAAAAAATGTACTCTGTAACTAAATGTCGACTCCCCAGGAGGAAGGATATCTCCTTCACACAATTATAGAAATAGCGCCCAAAAGAGACAAATATAACAAGAAATCCAGTTCCAAAAAGGCTCAGTACTGCTGAGGTGTTATGAGTGTGGTTACAATCTTTGGCGGTTGTGGGTCAATTCCAGGGGTGGTCTGGTGATAAACATCTGTGGGCCAAAGGCAGGCGTGGTATTGGAAAGAGTGAGACAACAGTGGGTCAGGTCAATACTGAGCGAGTGACATCCTGCCCTACAAAGCTGCGTCAGGGTTAGAGGGGAAATTTAATGTTGCAGGAAGTAGGATCTACATGCTTAGAAATATATATGTGTGTGTGTGCGTGCGTGTGTGTGTGCGTGTGCGTGTGTGTGTGTTGCATGCATGTAGCAGGTTCTGTGTGTAAACTGCCCCACCCCCTCGCACACCGACCGGTGTGTGTGTGTGTGTGTGTGTGTGTGTGTGTGTGTGTGTGTGTGTGTGTGTGTGTGTGTGTGACCTAATTAGCTATGGTCTACTGTAGTGTCTCCAGGGGTGCACCAAGGCAGGCCCCCAAAGAAGGTAGATTAAGAAGGTCCACAGCAACGACAACATGAAACACCCTTTACTTTACTGCAACGACATGTCAGGAAACCCCCTCAAGGGGTCCCCATGCATAGCGCACCGTCAAAAGCTGCTTCATAATTTCAGTTTTGCTGTCAGAGGTGACATGTCCCTTCTGCTTGGGGCCCCCAGAGTCGCTTGGGGCGCCACTGAGTGTCTCTCACTTTATACATTAGGTCCTTCACTTACAGTATGTGGCCTATAATATATAATGTACATTCTCATTTACCTTTTCTGACACTGCTTACACTAACTGCTGA